CAGTCCCAATAAAGCTCGAAACCTTAAATCCCCACGTCCCCAATCAGACCTGTAAGCCCCGCGGGGCATAGATCCTCTTCTTGAAGACCTTCGGTTCAGAGCCGCTCACCCCACACGCAGGCAAATAGGCCCCGAAGCAGCTATAAACGAGATCACTACATCTTAAACCTGTCGAGCTATGTCTTAAGGACGAAATGAACCCTAAAAGGGTATGAGGTTCCAGTACCACATAGGGACTCACAGTGTATAGGGGATTTATGGCCCTTACTTTCTAGGGTCATTTGGTCTTTAATGCAAGGCCCAAACCGAAACCTTCCGAAACGAAGCCCCCCCCCCCAGGTCCTCGAGGCCGGAAGGCGCTAAGCCCCGAAACCCGAAAGTCCTAAACCCGAAACCTCATATATGGGTACTTGTCAAAAAGATGGCCCCTTTTTTAATTTTTGGGGTACCCTAAATAATAGGTGCCGTACTATATTAGGGACCCAAAAAGGGATTCTAATTTTGACAACCACCCATACACAAAAAGCCCAACAAAAACCCTACAACCCTCCTAAACTGAAGCATCTTCGGCCTGGAGGCCGGGTTCACCTCGGAGCTGCAGAGGTTCGGCCTGGACTTGGGTTTGGGGGCCTTTGGGGTTGGGGCTTTGTGGTTTGGGGCTTTTAGGGTTTAGGGTTCTGGGGCTTTGTGGTTTGGGGCTTTTAGGGTTTAGGGCTTTGGGGGTTTGGGTGTTTGGGGCTTTTAGGGTTTACAGGGTTAGGGCTTTTAGTTTGGGGCTTTGGGGCTTTTGGGGTTTAGGGTTTCGGGCTTTGGGGCTTTGGGGCTTTAAGGCTGTTAGCTGCTTGATACCTCAAAGGGCAGTAGCGCCGCAAAGGAAGGGCTTTGGGGCCTTATAAGGCTTCAGGTGCGTTTAGGCTTTTAAGCTAGATACCCTCAAAGGTGTCACTAGTTGAATCTAACCGAAACCCCAAACCCTAAACTCCAAACCCTAACTAAACCCCAAACCCTAGTTGACAATAGCCCCGAAAAGGGAATTGAAGATGAATCCGGTCCCTGGGGCAGGAAGCTCGTAGTGCTCAATGACATCGATGCCGGCCTGCTTTTGCACACGGGGGCAGATTTTGGAGTTATATGGCGTCTCATTGAGGGTCTACAATCGTGTGAGACAATCAGGCTTGTGGTGCGGGCGAGGCTTCAGGGGCATGGCTTGCGGGATCTTTCGGCTCAGCGTTGTTCAAGCCCTGCGCGTCATCCTCTGAAACCGACGGACGCGGGCGAGACAAAACGCATGGAGCCGGCAACTAAATCTCTGAAGCCTTAGAACTCAGCGCCTGAGCCTTGAACTCCCCAGCCCTAAACCCTGCACCTCTGAAACCCCTGGGTCTGGCCTCTCGGCAGCTCCGCACGGCGAGTTGGAAAACTTCTGGCCTGGGACAAAGGGGGTGGGGAAACTCGTACTACAGTATGGGTCGTCGTCGTAGGAGTGGCAGAAGTAATCGTCCTGGTGGTGGTGGTGGTGGTGGTGGTGGTGGCGGTGGTGGTGGTGCATATTTCATCCACCGCTATTTGGAACTAGAACCGCGTCCACGCTTTCCTGGACAATAAATACAAGGGCCCTGTTATTTGGGTCAGACTTTGGGGGTTCCTATACGAAAGCTGTCGTGGGAGTCCCACGGGGGTGGTGTTCCCGAGATTGAGTTCTCGCTTTGGAACCAGAACTGCTTCGCCATGACAGCCTCGCCAGTTTCCAAAGTGCTTGGTGCCTTGACACTGTGAGTCGGCTCTTGGTCTATATTCATTACAAGTAGTCTACAAAGAATAAGGAAGACAAAGGAATCGGTAGCCAGTCCAGCAAATCGAACGAGCCCGGGAAGCCGGGCGCAGGCTCGAAGGCCAGGGAAGTCACCGGCCGAGTAGCCAGCCTTAGCTAAAGCTGCGAGTCCTACCCCCAAAATGTTTTCAGATGCATCAGCCAACTTTGATGGAGACGGCCCAGCCCTTGCGGCACGAATCCTGGTACAAGGCCGAGGAGCCGTTGCAGATGCAACTCGAAGACGCCTGAACAGGGCTTAGGGCCCAGAGATCAGCTAGCGCAGTTTAGGGCTGCCTGCTTCAATCCGTGATCTTTGAAAAACTTGAACAACTTTAGCATCTACGACGGGAGCGTGACAAATCAAAAGCTCAAAACTAAACGTAAGTTCATGCGTGCATAAAAGAGAAACATGGAGAAATCGAACATGAAAGTTGCGATTCCTATAGTTGCAGGTCAGCGATCAGCTCAGCAGTGAGCCATTCATTGAGTGATTCTAGTGATCTCGACCTCCGCACCCCGATGCGCCTAGGTTCATTCCGGCATCCACGACCACAAAGGGTTGGGACCTCCGGGCAGCATGGGGACACAGGGAAGAACATGCTGTTGTGACCCGGCCACCACCACCTCCTGCTACTTCTACTTTGACACTGCTGTCACTCGTGCTGTGACGACTTCCCTGCCCCCACCACCATCGGAAGCACTGCCACAACAAAACCCAATCACAGTGTCTATCAGCCAAGAAAACAATCCTCTATTCACCGTGTCTTCGCGATCACCATCCTTATCACGGCGCACACCCCCAGATGAACTCCTGAGGCCAACGCCTATACTTAACCTGAAACTGAAACCCGACGAAGGCCTACGAAGCCCTAAACCCTACTAAACCTCTCTAAAATAAACCTACTAAACCACACTGAACCCTACGGTAAACCCTATCATCCGCATCATGACCTTGTTGCGTCGCCTGTCTTCCTGCAGCTGTGCCAGCGGCAGCCCAGCCCACTCAGGTGCCTGGCAAGGCGAAGCTGCGCTACCCAGATTGCTGGGGAGTTTATGAGTTTACGTCTAGGGTGTAAGTACTTACCTTTGGTTAGTAGGGAATGGAAGAATGGTAGTAATAGTAGCTGTAGTTGTGGTCGTTTAGGGTTTAATTAAGAGTTTGGGGTTCCGGGTTCAAAGTTTAGGGCCATTTAGGGTTGAGGGATGCAGGTTTAGGAGCAGCCCGCTCTCTCAGACCCTCCCATCCAAGCCTGCAGTGGTAAGGGGCCGTAGCAGCGACTGGCCGCATGCAACCGAAACAGAGGGGTTTAGGGTTTAGGGCACATACCCGAGAATCGAGAAACGAAGGGTTGTCAGGTTGATTAAAGTTGATTGCACTGTCAAGGTGTTCTTTGGCTGCGAATCCGGGAGTGCTGAGCAACTCATGGGGCAGCGGAGGGCTTGGGTGTCGGGGTGCAGAGCGATCAGCAGTGCGAGCCTGCAGAAGATTTCGTTGTACTCGAAAAGGGCCTCCTGCGCGACAGGAACAGAAATATCAAGAGGATGGATCTATACGATGGGCTGCTTATGCAGAGATCCATGTTGACAATGAAACTTGTCAGGAAAGTCGACGAAACATTCATATTCAACCAACTCTAAACTTGTCAGGTAAGTGGATGAAACCGAAACCCCAAACCGATGTGCAGGCGCCTCCGGATTGGGTGCCCAAGCCTTGAGCCTGAGCGAGTCTTAAGGCTTCTGGTATAAACTCCTTCTGATCCCATTCAACCCAGCCAGCTCACCTCCTCTTCTTCGGAACACAGAGAAGGGATAGGAGGTGCACAACTCATCATGTTGGCAAGACAGAACTGTTTGCTTTGACAATCGCTGATTCACGTTCCCAGGTAAGAGAGTTGTTCCCTGGGGAGGGTGATCAACCGCCTCGGTATCGACGGCTCCTTACGAATCTAGGTTTTGGGAGCCAGCACAGCATAGCTTAATATCTTCGGAGACCGAAATGGAACAGCGATCGAAGAACGTTTTGCTGCGCTTTGTTGTCGATGTTTACTTGCATAACGCTTTGTCATCGGCTCGTGCGTACTTAAGCTTACCCTGTGGAGTGTGAGCTGTGGCGAACAGGCTATCAACAGCACAAATAAAGACGAAGAACCCAGCAAGGCACTTGTGCTCGTTGTGGATCGGTACCGTGAATTGAATCTTACCAAGGCTTCCCGACCCTGTCCCAACCAAACCAGATCGTGCCTTTTTGGCCCGCGGCACGTCTCCAGCATCGCATGCGCCTACTGGAGACAAGTGGCACTGTGACTGTTTCCCAGCATCCTTCACGTCTCTGGGGTTGGTGACTTAGAACGTAGACATAGACTGGAGCCGTGTCAGCCAAGAGGCACCGGTCTCCAGAAGACGAGGTCGTGCAGGGCGAGCAACTTAGTTGCCCTTGCCATGTCACTTCAGAGCCTGCCAGCTCCTTGTTTTGAAGCTTCTGCAGGCTCTGTGGACTTGCAAGGCCACAGGGAGCAAAAGAATCAATTGCGTCACTCGTGGCTGTGGAGGTCTTAAAAGTGTCAAAGCGGCCACAGAACATGAAAGAGCCGCCTGAAAATCGGGTGCGGGACCCATGCCCACGAATCGAAGGCTCACACTCCACTCCAGAATTTTGCCAGAAGGTTGCAAAGCTTGGCAAAAGGAGTTTGACTGTATGGGGTTTGGTTGACTGCGGTTGCACCACCGGCGGGTTGAGCCAGGTAGCCCGCAATCCGAGAGCTACAATATCTTAAAGAATCTCATTTCAGGGTCGCGTCTGCGCGTGAAACTGAAGCCGGAAGACAATTCAAATGGCACAGGTTCAGCCCTGAAGTGGGACCTCAGCGACAGTCACAGTCACGAGGCAGCGAGACCATGCCTTTCCACCTCGACCTCGTAGCCAGTCCGAACAAAGGCTAGGACGAACTGGATGCACAAAAACAATACATAAAGTCATAGAGCCGAAAAAACCTAAACCCGAAAAGAAACAAGCAGCTCACAGCTCCGTCAAGGCTCTTGGAATCCCGAGACCATCCCTCCATGGCACGAGACACACACCCGAAACCGAGGGTTTAGGTTTAGGGTTACCCCGTAACCTGACTCGAGATCCCACACTGTACGTAACCGTTTTGCTCTTCGTTCGGGCCCCTGCCTCCTGCGAGGAAGGTCAATGACTCGCAGGATCAAGCTCCTTTCCCTTGAGGTTAGGCCTGGCGCTGCATGGGAGTCTTGCAGATGAGGGAGGGTCTAGGACAGTTTTTGGTTCCCGGTTGGGGTTTTGGGAGTCTAGGATCCGACCGTGCCCCTTTCCAAACAGATGCAGCTGTGCTGCCAAACCAAACACCAACACGTGGACACGATCCCGCACGCCGTTCGAGGATGTTCAAGGCGAGCGGAACATCGATCCTATCCTCCAAACCTCGAAATCCGAGGTTTCGTGAAATCAACATCCCTGCACCCCAAACACTCCCCCGATCGTCGCGACAACGACTGGCTCACAACTAACTACACTAACTACACTGTAACATCAGCATCTTGCTCGCGTGTCCTCAGATTGAACTCTACAGTCACTTCTGTTAACTCGAAATCTCAGCGGAAGAGGATCCAAACACCAGAGCATCCGACTTCCCCAAACTGCACCACAACAGCTTCCTACATAATTATAGTACCCATATAGATCCCTTATAGGTAACCCTTATAGATCTCGTATAGTACCCTTATAGACCCCTTCACAACAGTTCTCGCAGCTTCTAGCTGAAACGCAGCCGGGATGACAGCAAGGTAAACCGCTCCTCACTGCAGCCTGGCAGAAAGGTGTTACCCAAAGGCCCCAAACTAGCTCCTTTTTGGGATTACCTTCTAGGATTCTATATATATGAACCTGAAAAAGGAACTAGTTTGGGGCCTCTGGGTAAGGGCTTGGTGGTAAGGGTTTAGGAGCAGCATTGCACATGCCAGCGAGATGCCAACGCTGTTTCGTTACGAATCAAAACCGACGGGCTTGTTGAAAGGAGGAATCATGGAAACAAGGCAGCGTAGGGATTGGGTGAGTGGGGGCAAACGCTGTGGCGCGCAACAGCTTCGCGACACAGAGCTCTCAAAACACGCTGAGCCGCCCAACACAGAAGCACCACAAGCATTGCAACGACTTCCACCCACAAGGCAAGGTTTCGAGGATGTGTCCAGAGAAAGGATTTAATTCGTTCGGCATCTGCAGCTCATTTGACCATGAAGCCTGTGCAGAAGACCTTCTCTCAGCAACATAAGCCTGAATGCTCGGTCTCGGTCAACATCCTGCTGCAGACCGTAGTTGCTGAATTCTCAATATGGCTGCAGTAGACAGTAGATCACTGAATTGCACATACATCTACACCAAGCCAAGAGGTCATGAGGATACTGACTCATCATCTGCTGTGCTGGCCTTCTGCGGTCGGTGTCAGCTTGATGACGGTGTTGAGGGGAATCGACCTTGTCCACTTCTGGAGGGCACCATGCGCTGCACGAAGGAAAGTCTTGTCCAGACTATGGTCAATTGCTAGCTCTTGTAAGCTGGCGTAAGAGGCTGTCTATCAGGACATATAAGAACCTTGAAGCCCACCGCATCCAACACTCAGTCTCCAAGCCCAGAAATCCAGTGCAAAACCTGGAAACCCTAAGCCCATATGCCCCAAACTCCTTAACCTCAAACTTAAACCCTTCGGTGGAAATTCCACAGAGAACACCTTCCTTCGAAGCTGAGAGCCCGGCACATCTGGGCACTCCTGCATGGCGAAGGATTTAGGGTTTGGCGGTTGGGGGTTTAGGGCCCCATTTGAGGGTCCGGCCGGGATTAAGGCCTAGTTCAGGGTTTCAAGGTTTAGTTCGGGGATCGAGGGACTCAGAAAGCAGGTTTGTAGTTGAAGTCGTAGAACATTGGCCGCTCTCCTACTGCTAGAAATATATCGCTTTAGCGCGAAGCCGCAGCTCCACGACTACGGCTATCAGTACGACGACCACGACGGCCGCAACCACGGCGGCAGAAGAAATGTCAGCAGCTGTACTTGTAGGGTAGCTATTCAACAATCATCCACAGTCCTTGCCAACAAGTACGACAACTCAATATGTTTTTGCGGTCACATGTTACTGTGGTCTCACGTATCAGGCGCTGTGGAATATTTCTAGAGAAGAAATAATCTTCGTCTCTCTTGATCCTCCTTATATGAGTATACATATCAGCCTCGCGCCGCATACCCATGAAGTAGGCGTAGAGAACGCGCAGGATGGCCTCAGCTTGTGCTCAAATTGGACAATGGGGCCTTTAGCCCTGACATGGGCGGTGTCTTCCCTGAAGGCTGTTTCGATCAAGGACAACGTCTCGCGGACTCTACGAAGTACTCACCTGGCAATGGTGTACGGCTTCGGGCTAACAGGCTTTCTGGTGTTGTGTTCCAGAGTGCCGCGAGCCATCTATCATGAGGCATCGGTCAACCCAGGCAAACGTGTGACCAAACCTGCCCGAGCCCAGGGTTCAGGGGTTAGCATCCATGTGTGGGGTCGTATCTAGATTCTCGGTCTAGATGGAGGTTTCTACAGTCGCTCAGCCCTTATAACCATTCAAAAGCAATCGCGGCATTGATGCAAAACAGCATAGACCAGCTCAGACACTCTGACTCGCCTAGGTCCCCAGCCGGGGTTGCGCGCAAATTCGGGTGGCCAAACTGTAAATCCTGAACCCCAGAACCGCCCAGGCCCAACACTGAGAACCCAAACCCACTTGAGGCAGCCGTAAACCGAGCTGCCCGAACCTGAAAGTGGTGATTACTAGCGCCGGTCCCAGTGCCCAACCCAAAACGCTGAACGGGGACACCAAAAACAGCCACAGACTTCATGGCCGTTTTTTCCAATGAATTCGGTATGGCGCCCTGTACCATGTAAGCTACCGCTAAGAACCGTGTGCAGACAACCAAACACTTCGGTGTAGAGGCCCGAATACTCAGCTAGGAACGCTAGGAAATAAACTGTACTGACTACTGATAGAAAACGACACCCTTGTGGCAGCCTTTACTGACCGCTGATAGAAAGACCCTTACGATATCCTTCTGATCGCCCTACAACTCCCGTAATAAAAACCTTATTGCTGGGCCTGGTGGGCCACCACAAGCAGGGTCTCCTGCGCCCGCTCCATCCTCTGCTTCAAGCCAGGGCTTTCGGTGCTTCGGCATTCGGCGCTTCAATGGGAAAAGCAAACAGCAAACGATAAGAATAGGAATACGAAGAAGAAGAAGAACAACAACGTTAATTACCGAGAATGGTCATGAGCGTTAGTAATTTTAGTTGTTATGATAGAACCTCTAGAGAAAACAATCTTGGAGGCATGTCTTTCCATGAGCCAAGCTGCTCGTGCGCCATGGGCTCCAGGCGGGAGATGAGATCCGTGTAGCTCTCCCCGCGAGGATAGCGATATTCGAACCTGATGCTGCTGCAGGGCGTGAAATTTAAACGCAAGATTCTTACGCGCCGAAGAACCTCGATCCTTGATCTCTTGCGTTGCAATCACTATACGGACAGGTTTCACACCGTATGCTCGCCTGCGAAAAACCTTCCCCTGCGTGAGCGTGCCCATCTGCAAGGTCAACTGCGAAACCGAACCCTGATACCCCTAAATCCGAAACCCCTGAATCACACACCAAGAGACTTGTCCCCTTTCCGTGCCGTCGCTTCCTCCGGATATTCGCGCTCGATCTCCTACAGGCACACAGCAGCTGCAACACCACGATGGCCAGCAAGCAGCTGCAGCAGTCATATCCCGGAAGAGAACCGGATACGGAAAACACCTTCAATGCTTCTCAATCGGGTTCTGGGAAAGAGACACCCGCAGAAGCGAGAAACATTTAGGCAAACCGCAACGAGGCACTCATGGTTTGGAAACATCCTCGTAGGTCATCCCGTCGCAGAGACCGGCGTATATCTCATCTAGATTACGGAACATCTTTGGCCGCATCTGTACCTGAGGCGGGGCTTCTAAGACGTGCCAACCTGACAGCTATAAATGTCAGTAGAAGTGAGAAGAAACGTCTTGGGAATTTGTGCTGATGAAGACGAGATTTTACACCGAACTTCCTTTGCAACACATTTGGGCTTCGGTCCTCTCCTGTTCCCGGGCCCTCGTGCCCTTGTGCCCTTGTGCCCTTGTGCCCTTGTGCCCTTGTGTCCTTGTGCCCTTGTGCCCTTGTGCCCTTGTGCCCTTGTGCCCTTGTGCCCTTGTGCCCTTGTGCCCTTGTGCCCTTGCCGTGCCCTTGTGCCCTTGTGCCCTTGTGCCCTTGTGCCCTTGCCGTGCCCTTGCCGTGCCCTTGCCGTGCCCTTGCCGTGCCCTTGCCGTGCCCTTGTGCCCTTGTGCCCTGGTGCCCTGGTGTCCTTGTGCACTGGCATCGGGCTTGTCAAGCTGGTATGAAGTTTCGAACGCCTCGCTTTCGGTCCTGTTCTTTTGCTGATGATGTGAGAAGCTTGAGTCGTGCAGGTTTCCATGTGTTGTTGTTACCCATGCGCAATGAAGGTGGCTGCCAGTGGTCCTAGTAAGGGACACATGATGTAAGCCCAAGCCTTAGCCCCAAACCCTGGACCCTACAGCCGAGACCGTGAAGCCTGAATTCGTAGCTGTCCATTGCTTCTGCCATGTGCCGATCGCACTTCCAGAGCGCGATGCCAACGCACTAGGAAAGTGCGGAGGCAGGCCATTTTTTTTGCATGGCTTCCGGCATGGCTCATGTCGGCATCTGGTATAGTATGGTTTGCAACAGTACGAAGCACCACTGGAAACCTTGCCGTAGACCAGGTTGCGATGTGAATGTGAGCTTGAACATCCACCCAAACCCTTTACGCAACGTGCAGGTTATACTGCTCGATGGCGGGAGAGTGCGGCTGGAAGTCTATGCCAGCAGATCAAGGCAGGACCATGACGATTCAGACGATGTTGAAGATTCTGGGTTTTGTCAACGGTTTGGGGGAACTAATTCGACATGTTTATTTTGACGGATTGGCATCGAGTCTAGAAATTCGACATGTTTATTTTGACGGATTGGCATCGAGTCTAGAGAGATATCCGCCAAACCAAGACAGCCTCGAAAGCATGCTTGCTGCCACGCTTTGACTAGGAAGTACCCCGAAGCAGGACGGCTAGGATGAGTCAAGAGCATCGGGAAACATAGCTGCCTCGAAGCTAGCTGTGCCGAGTTCCACTACGATCCGGCCATTGTCAACGACAGTCGCTTGTTCGACCCGCAGAGCGCTCTCTATGATGAGTCTCGCCGCAGACCGAGACAATGAAACGAATGCCTTGTTTATTCTAAAACTCGAAATCCTATAGCTGTAACCCTCACTTCAATTGACGAAACCCATCAGCCAAAACATCACAGTAGTGGACTAGAAAATTCGAAATCCTAAACCCGAAGCCCCCATTGCACTTGACTAAACCCATTAGCCAAAACATCACAGCGGTGGCAACTTCACCAAGGCTCGGCCCTTGGCTTCGAAGACACCGACGCGTGAGGCGCGACAGCTGGCTTGGACGAGACCCCACATCCCCAAACCCCGAAGCCTAGACCCAATCCTCAGACCGCAACCCGTGCGACCTTGACATCCCGAACCCTGAAGCTCGCAGACATATAGAAACGCAGACATGCAGAAACCTCTGCTAGCTTCATGTTACGAGGGACGAGAGAGAATGTTGCGTGCTAGCTTCCTGCTACTCCCATTTGCCTAAGTCGTTGCGTTCTGTTCGCGGCAGCGCCAGACCTTCGGAGGAAGCTTTGTTGTGTAGGGGAAAGGCTTCCAAGGTGATGATCTGCGGTGTTTGTTTGCTGCATGGTCCAGGCCCTAAGTTGTCCCAGGTCCAATGTGCACTTGCGGATTCTGCGAAACCGTGTCAATCGGGATCCTCGGTCATGCTTGTAAACTAGATGCTTGAGCCAGTGTGCAGCAGCTGTTTGCGATTCCAGCGGTTCTAGCAGTAGGTCTAACAAAACAATGCGCTGAGGAAAAAAAAAGAAAGACGAACCTTTTCGGCAAACGTCCAAACCCTGTGTGCTCGCGCTCTGTCAGAAGAGACCACATTGAGAGCGAAGCTGGGGAGGGGAAGCGGCTGCGGCTGCTTTACCCCCTCAGTGCATGCGGGCCGGGGTTTGGAGGTTTGCCGAAAATCCTAAGTTTGGCTCAAAATTTGGCTCAAGCCTCTCAGGGTCCGTTCTTCACCGGTCCCTGGAGGTGTGCACTTGCAGAAGGCTGCGACAAAGAACAGCAGCACGCCGGCTTTTACACAAGTTGTTCACTCTTGGGTGACAAGTGGCGCTTTCCCTTGGCAACTGAACTGCAGAAACCCTTAGAGAACACTGGCAGAACACGTCAAAGGGACTCCTTACAGGAACCCTAGTCTGAGACTTAGAGGCCCCTATAATCCTTGCATCACCAAGCAAGGGCAGCTCCCAAGCTGTACTGCCCTGAAGCATGGAACCTGTAGGTTTGCCACGTGCTTGGGTACATGAAGGCCGTTGTAGAAATGTTCATAGTTTGTGGTTATTTTGTCGAAACAAAAGTGTTCAATTTTTCCCCAAATCCAGAGGCAACCTGAAAAACACTTAACAACAGCGACCGTGAACTCCTTCAAACGGAACACAAACCCTAGGACCTGAGTCCTAAACCCTAAAATTGGAATCCCTAACCGTAAACCATTATGAGTATTGAGCTAGACTTGAAATCCGAAGCCCCATGACCGCGAGGCCCGTCCGGACATCGTCCTTCTTGCAGCGGCCGTAGTCTTCGTTCTAGACAGGCTGGTTGGTATTACTGATTGGTGGTTGGTGTCACGATTGTTGGGGCTCCCCGGAGTCCAGAGTAAACAAATATCTACGAGGCAATCCTCAATCATAAAGTCTTGTAAACTGTGAAGAGATAAATGATGGACCCGAAAGTCTTAATGCTACATTCCTAAACCTTGTTGTAACGAGGCTAAAAGGCGAGTGATGCTGGCATTCAGCAGGGCAAAGAAACTCGCGCAGTTATTCAAGTCAGCTCCAAGTCATCAGAACAGATCTGCCATTGACGTAGAGAAGCATGCAGACCTACTCCAAGTAATTTAGAAGACGTGTAAAATACAAGGAAGCGTGCAGCTCGGCCATGGCAGAGGTCGTTAAATATCCAGGCAAATGTCCGGGCTGCGGATGCAATCTCAGCAAGAAGAAAGAGGCAGAAGCCAGCGTCTTGACGGTGCAGGGCTGGGCGCGTGTGCAGCACGTGATGCAGGTATGTAAGCGACGGGCATGCAGCTTCTTCGAAGTCCCTGTGTGGTACAACTACACATCGCCTGAATCGAAGCGCGTTTGGCAATGGTGCGATCAGCCGCTGCAGTATTTCTTTGTGACTCCTGGCTTCGGAGTCACCGTTGAATGGCTTCGGCAGATGTCCCGCAGAGTAGTGTAGCTTGTTCATGATAGAAACTTCTTACCGTGTTGCTATGCGTCGGGACGCTCTTCGGCTTGTACATATCTCGAAATAGACTGGATAGCTGAGGTTCCAGTATGCATCGTTCCGCGGCGAGGCGATGGTCCATCGGCTAGCAGCTGTAGACGCAGGTCACAAGGAATGGGTGCCTAATAAGGCTGGCCTCAAGCTTTTCCGCGCGTGGCTACTGTATCGACTGGTCGATGTCTCAGTCGTCGACCATTGTGCAAGGGCACCAGGTTAGTGACAACTCAAACAGTGATGCAAGCTAACTTGATGCGAGCCGATGTCTGCTGATGCTAAGGCTTTCATATCAAGTTGTCGAACTAGTCAGCAGCTAGGAGTCAGAGCCATGGGTGATGTTGAAAAGAAGTTTTCAGCTGAGCTGGAGGAAGGCTACGAAGTGGTGGATAAGAAGTTCGATGCAGAGCGAATCTATGGAGAAGTCGGATCACGATTGCTTCTCAGACTAGCTGCTAAAGCTTCTCATCACAGTATGCCGTATGGCTTGACATTGCAGGCTGCGCTGCTGGGATGCACCAACGGCGCCCAGATTCAAGCCTTTCCCAGTGCCCCCAGTCCTCTGAGCATGATCTTCCTTAACGTCAACATGGTACAGACCCGCAAGTCGCAGCTGAGTTCCTGCGTGGAGGAGGTTTCGATGGCTGTAGATGCTGCAGCGCGGCAGCGTGCACGTGCTGCAGCTCACGGGCAACGAGTGCAAGTGCAGTCAATTCAGCTGAAGCGATTTACCGAGGCGGCGTTCTTTCAACGATGTGCGGCAGACTGGCAGCAGTGTCAAGTCGATTTCCAAGATGACAAAGATGATGCCGCAGGTGATGCAGGCCAATGTCCGGCACGAGTGCACTACTCGACGTTGTTGAATGTTGACGAGGCTTACAGGTTTCTCAAGATGCTAGGGCTTTCACCTGCTGGGGGCAAGGGCGGTTCCAGTGAGACAACGGCAAATGCCTGCGAGACAGCCTCCGAGTTCAATCGGGTGCTGCAAAGTGGTGTGTCTTCATACGTGTGCAAAAATTCCGGCTCGTCGCACGGCGGCGGAATCAGCAGAGTTGTGAATGTGGCAGGAGTCGGAAATGTGCACCCGTCTGCATTCTTTCCTGTGCTACGTGGTGAGGTTGGCTCACACCATGTTGCTGGGTTAGAGCGCTTTCTGCTGGGCACTGGGCGTCCAGTGGAGCCACATTCAGACCTACCGGCAGGGCTAGAGTTGCCACCCTCTTTCAAGCCATGGCGATGGTGCCCTCTGATGTCGTGCATGCTGAACCCTCTTGGCCTTTCGCCGGAGGCCTTGCAGTACGAGTACGCTCTTCAAACTTTTCCAAGATGCGATGTGGAAATGGAGGATCAAGGCAACGAGGATTGTTTTCTTCCGGATTCAGCTGGATTCTTGGTGTATCTCCGTGACGGGACAGCATCGAGGCTACGTTTCCGTGAAGTCAAGGACCTGGGTTACATTGGGTTTGATAGGGACTAGGCTTTAAGCACAGCCTT